GTACCCTTAGAAAGGTTTATTTCACCTCTTGGTTTCAGAATTCCCACAAGTGAACAGGTCCACTCTTTGGGCCTCTGGTGAGATGTGATGGGCAGGACGATCTGCTTTGTGAACTAGGAAGTGAAAAGGGTAGAAGAGGCGAGGTCTCAGATCCCCTCTGAGACCGCGCTACACCTCTAACGACCTAAGTACTTCCCACTAGTCTCCACCTCCCAAAAGTTCCACTGTTCCCCCCCAAAAACACTACACAGGGCCCCAAGCATACGTGGCCGTGGAGTATCCAACCTGCAGGAGAGACGTATTTATCCCAACACAAAGAGCTTCTTCCTTTGCCCCCAGAGCCACCTCAGCTATTTCTAATTGCCTTGCTTTCGCTGTGTCCTGAATGCCATTGGCAAAACAGTGCCTCACACCTAAATATGTGCAGAATCTATGCCCTGCTGGGTCTACTGTGGGGCGGAGGGGCTGGGAATCCATCCCCATCCGTAGGCGCCTGGGCCCAGCTACATGGTGTCATGGGTGGATCATGGCTTTGGGTGGAGCATTTCTGTGACAGGGATGTTTGCTTTCCTCAAGGCGCATGTGCCATCAAGAGTCAGTGGAGGAAAACACTATTGGTTCCCAGGATGGACCGAGAACTGGGCCCACGAGCAGTGGTCAACTTGTGCTAGGAGAGAGGCAACAATGCAGAGTAGCCCAGGCTGCTCTTCCCCACCCAACATCTGGGGGAACAGACAATGCAGAGTAGCCCAGGCTGCTCTTCCCCACCCAACATCTGGGGGAGCAGGCAAGGAGAAAGCAGTTAGGGCTCTATTCTTTTTTTAGTATTATGTTAAACTGGCCACAAAGCTAGGGATGGTGTGACTGAATTATAAGAAGGCTGGGGCATTAAATAAAAATCCAAGATAAGGGGTAGGAGAGGTTGGCTCAAGTTGGCTCTATTTTAATAGCAGGCAATATGGGCTGAAGAAACAGTAGAAGCGGTAACATCTCCTTGGCTAACAGTTCACCTCACTTACTAATGGAGATGGGCTCATTGTGTGTAGTAACTCTCTGAAAGACAACTTTCCCTGGAAAACGGAACAACTCCCCCTGAAGGGAAATCCTCTGCCAGCGTGACCGGGTGGAACTTCTCAATGCCGTTTCTTAGTTTCTTGCTTGTGGCTCTTCTGTGTGTCCTTGCCTTTCTCTCTTGTTCACGGTCATCAGTCAAGCAGGCTGACCCTGTCATCTGATGAGGATGTTAAATCCTAGCCATTCTGGATCTGGGAGGATTGTGTCAGGCAGCAGTGACAGACTCCCTGTCAACCGAAGGATGTCAGAAGAACCAAGCAGCACCTGCCCTTCAAGTCCCAGTCTCCTGAGCTGGCGCTGCGCCTTTGTCTTGAGGCTCATCCCAGGGGTGTGTCAGTGAGTGTTCACCAGCCAGTTCCCGGGGCGGGGCAGGAGGCAGAGAAGCTCTGATTGGCTTACTGATTTCCATCCCATAAACATTCCTGTTGTGGCTGATTTGGGGTAAGATGGCATCAGGAGACCCAGAGCTGAGAGGGCATTTGCTTCAGTCCTCTGTGTTTATTATTTCTCTGCTCCTGGGCTCCTGGGCTAGAACACCCCAACTGCAATCAGCTTAGGAGAGGAAGGCTTTGTGTTGACTGATAGTTCTGGGGGGAGGCAGTCAGTCATGGTGGGGAAGGTGCGGCCACAGCAGCATTAGGTTGGCCTGGCTGTCAGGAAGCAGAGAGAGGACAGGAAATGTGGCCAAGCCATAAAACCTCAAGGTGTATCCTAATGACCTATCTCCTCCCAAAACAGCATCACCAACTGGGGACCACGTGTTCAGACATGTGTGCCTGTGGACATTTCTCTTCAAACTGCAATGCTCCCTCCCTAGCATTTGCCACACAAATGTTTTAATCACCAGTAACCATGAGAAACTAGATAAGAATCAAAGTCTAAAGGCATCAAGAGGAGTGGGGGTGGGGAGGTGGGGTGAGTACACTTGCTGGGCAATCCTGAGAATCCGTGGAAAAAACTAGGAGTGGCTGCATGCCCAAGTAGAGGCAGGGGGATTGCTAGAGGGGTGTCACTGACAACCAGCCCAGCTCTAGCTTCAGTGAGAGACCCTGTCTCAGGGAATAGGTAGAAAGTGCCAGAGCAAAACATCCAATGTCCTCCCTTGCCATTTATGTATGTGCATGGGCATCACATGCACATATACACAAATGTGTACACATCACACACACATACACATATGCACATACATGCACACACAATAGTCATGCACACACATTCACACACCACTCACAAACACACATGCACACACAATCTCATACACACATGCACTCACACACATATGCACTCACACACATGCACACATAGGCACACACATGTGCACACACATGGGATGGCTCTTCGGTACTATTTGTGTTTTAATATTTTTTAATTATAAATTTAAGTAATAGCTGTGTTTAATAAGCAACTTGCACATTTCCTGAAAATTTAATGATGGGTTCTAGGTGCAAGTGGGTTCAGCCATGCTTGTCAGCCTCCTGAGCCTGGGTCACCCTGGTTTTGGCAGGGATCTTGGACTCACACAGATCCAGGCACCCACAGACATCTATGGCACTACCAGGTGCTGCTAGGAAATGCACGGATGATTGTGGGGACCTCCACACATGTAACTCCAGCTCATGGGATCTGATTGTCCTCGTCTGGCTCCTGAAGGTCCTGGACTCACAAGAACAAATGCACATGTGCACATAATTGAAAATAAAAATAAAATCTTAAAAAATGGACATGATATAATAGTGTCCACAGGATCAATCAATTCTATGTTTGGGTCATTTGGGACCCAGCATCCTGTTGGACCCAACATCCTGTAAAGCCTGGGGTATCTTCCACGTGGCACCATGGAGGAACTTAGAGCAAGGCTCTTTTGGGATATCCCCCTCAACCACAAAATCCTCCATATTTTCTCGCTGCTACAGCTTCTGCCAGGAAGTCTTGGCTTCTCTATCTCACCTCTCACTGGTCTCCAGAGCCTCATGGTTCCCAAGGCACCAGCCATGAAAGCCCTCATAACATGGCTTCAGACACGGCCAATATGTCTCAACCGTGGATTCAGAGAGTTGAGTTCACAGGCCACCTGTTGGTTGGCCCCGAGCTGGGGACATCATCTGCAGAACTGCAGCACCATCGTGATGCTACTGAACTGCGGGGTTGCCTTCACAGAGCGCCAGGGGCTGTGTGTGCGTGTGTTTTTTTTTTTCCCCCACAGCTGTGGAGGCTGAAGTCCAAGAACACGGCATGAGCAGGCTGGGTTTGTCCTGGAAAAACTCTTCCTGGTTTGCGGGACGACCACCTGCTTGTTTTGTCCTTATGTGGTTCTGTGCATGAATTTCTGACGTTTCCCATCTTCTCTTAAGAGCACAGACCAGATAAGGACACTCTTGACCTCATTTAACCTCAATTCCCTCTTTAGTGGCTCCTGTTTCAAATAACGTCACACAGGACTTCAACGCCAGAACTTTCTCTCCAGGGTAAAGGTGGGAGGAGTAATTCATTCCCAGGGAAGACAGACACTGAAACCTGGCTGGTGCACATTAGTGCTGTGTGCTTCAGCTGGGAGCCACACAATGGCCTTCCAGTTGTTCATTGTTCTTCATTTCTCCACCTTCATCTTGTAGAATGTTCTAGTTTGCTCTTTGCGGCTGTAACAAAACTCTAACCGAAAGCAACTTGGGGGAAGAAAGGGGTTATCTGGCTCACAGCCCCAGGCTATAGTCCGTTGTTTTGGGAAAGTTGAGGCAGGGACTTGAAGCAGCTGGTAGCGTGCCATCCATAGTCATAGGCAGACAGAAATGAATGCACGCATGCTTACTGTTCATCTTACTCTTTCCTTGTCGTTTAGTCCAGGGCCCAGACCGTGGAGTAAATGCTGCACACAGTCAGGGTGATCTCACCTCAATTAACTCAAGAAAAACCCTTCACAGGCATGGTCACGGACTGACCTACTCTAGACAGATGAGACACTCTTGAGATCCTCTTCCTGGGTGATTCCACACTGAGTTAGCAGACAGTCAAAGCAAAACACCACACTAACTTAGCTGTCTCTAGCCCAAAATGCTATTTTTTTAATTGAATACAATTTGAGTGATAGTATTTTGGGTTAAGTAAAACATTAATGGAATTGCTTCCATATGTTCCTTTTCTAGTGTGGATAGTCACAAACTTAAAGATTACATCATGGCATGGCCCCTGGAGAGCAGGCAGGGCCACCCCTCAGATGGAGAGGGAATGTTGCTCTTGGGGTTCTTTCTTGTCCCCCTGCTTAGCTCCATTACCTATTTGCCACCCCCTCCCTTCCATCCTGCACCTGGGCTCAGCATCACACTGCAGGAGAGAGCCAGGGAACCTTCCAGGTGATGAGGGGTGGAGGAAGGTGACTGTGCCCTCCGTGTGGTCCAGCTTAGAGGGGCAGTGTTTGAGAACACCACCCTGTGCTCACACATGAATGTCTAGAACACCACCCTGTGCTCACACGTGAGTGTCTACAACACCACCCTGTGCTACACTGTGAGTGTTTTATGCCAAAACAAACGGATGAAAGATGTTACCACCTCTCACTCCACCCTGAGTTGTTAAACCCAAAGACCTATTTCACTCTCCGGCCAGTTCTCTGAAAAGAGCTAAGGAGAGGAGAGAGGAAAAGGTTTATCTAGGGGCCAAGAAGATGGCTCAGTTGTTAAAGAGCTTGCCACTAAGTGTGAGGACCCCAGAAACCCACATAAATGCCAGTTGGACTTGATGGGGGCCTCTAATTCTCCCTGCGATGTAAAACCAAAACAGATCCCTGTCTCTGATCTTTTCAAGGTCACATCCTTGTAAGTATTCCAGCAGCTGTCTAGGGAAAGGCTTACCCCCCCCCCCGCCCTGCCCTGTCCCCAGCCCTACTGCAGGTTCCGTTGGCGCACAAGTCATTCTTTACAGGGTTCACTCACCGGCTTCGAATAAGATCCTTTTTGAGGTTTACTATTTCCTTGTCTAAATACCTGATGTTCTTCACCACTGTCTTCTCTGCGACCTGATGGGAAGGCAGGAGATGACAGGAAAGGGGACATTAACACAGTTGTTCCAGCTGGAGTCTGATAACAGAGCTCCTGTACCCCGAGATAATCAATATGCAAAGAAAAAAGTTTACCCCAGCTCGTGGTTTGGGAGGCTCTGGGCTGTGGCACTTGGCCCTGTTTTGCTTTGGAGCTGTATCAGGGTCGGGGTGTGTGGTACGGTGGAATGGATCACTTCATGACTGGGATGCTAAAGGGAGAAGGGTATGCACCCAGTGACCCAGAGACCTCCTACTGGGCTTCACCTCTCCACAGTTCCACACTGAGGACCAGGTCATCCATTGTCAAAACTGTAGCGCTGCCTGTCCAGGTTGGGAGAGTCCAGGCATCTGAGTTCATCTCTACATGGCAGGGGCCCCTTGGCACAGTGGCATGGTGAGGGCTCTGAGGAACGTAACCCTGGCCAGTTGTGTGGATTGAAACAAATTGTTCCGACTCTCCGGGCTGGTCAGCGTTTTCAGGAGAACGGGGGAGTGGTCTCTAGCCCCCAGATTCCTGACATTTGACAGTAAATGGGAGGAACCAGAGAGCTCAGCAATGAAAGGAGCCAACCTTGATAGACTGAATTGGAGCCCCAGAATCCCCATGCAGGGAGTAGAGAACAGACCCCTAACTATGCTCAGACCTCCATGTGTGTGCAGTTGTGTGTGTATGTCCCCCCAACCACAGATAAATAAATAAAAATATAACTTAAAATTGAGAAAAAAGAAAGAACGGGGACTTTAAAAAATTACTACTATTTGTATCAATGGCAGTTGATTTTTAACTGAATTCCTTCCCTGCTAGTGGCTTTGACTCCTTTATGCTCTCAGCAGGATCTTAGTGGTGGGGTATCCAGGGAATACAAATGGTGACCTTTCTCTGTCACCTTTTTATTAGTCTTAACCACACACTGGATAAATCATATAATCCACAACTTCATTAGACAGAAGTTGATACCAGGTCAACTTTTAAAAAGATGATTTAATTAATTATAGTTTATATAAAAGCTGCCTTTTTAAGAACCTTGTTTGGAGAAATACTCATCAGAATATTATCCTGCTTTGAAGTTAATTCCCCCTTAAGATCTTTTGTAAGTAAAACGAAATGCTAAGAAATGACGAGAAAATGGGTCCCCTTAGATAAAGCTGGTGGGAAACCCATGGTGAAAGCCTTGCAGAAGAACCGTTCACCAAGGCCTTCCAGGTGCTCTAGGAGGGAGCATGCCCTTAGATCTAACATCTGCAGGTAAGCATCCTGCAAGAGAATATTCCTGACAGATGAGGAGGTGCCTGGGCAAGATCATCCAGTTGCTTCAGAAGGCAAACAGCCTGCACATCTCACGAGAGAAGACAGACTCAACAATTCTGGCCCATCTAGATGGCGGAGTACTATACAGCGATTAAAAGTGATAAGAGTAACTTCATTGATTTGTGCTTTGCATTCTTGGAGTAAGAGAACAAGTTAGGAATCACCATTTACAAGAGAGTTCTATTTTTACTTTAAAAAGTGGAAATATACTTTTCAAAGACATGGAAGGACATGGCTCCCAGACACAGTGTTTCCTCATGGGGGTGGGGCTGTGGTAGGTTTTGTTCCTTTTTTCTTACCTGATGTAGATATCATATGACTTTGCAGTAGATATGAGCTAGTTATATTATCATTGAGGAGAAGAGCTTCAAAAAGTGGCAAAATAGGGGCTAGCGAGATGACTTAAGAGCTCTAGCTGCTCTTGCAACCATATGGCATCTCACAACCATCTGTAACTCTAGTACCAGGGGACACATGCCCTCTTCTGGTTTCCATGGGCACATACATGCATGTAGGACATGTTAACCCATGAAAGCATACACAGACACACAGGAAAAAAGACAAAGTTTCACAAAGCCCTATGGGTAGTACTATACTGGAAGGATTTTTCAAAGACACAGAGATAGATAGATAGATAGATAGATAGATAGATAGATAGATAGATAGATGGATGGATGGATGGATGGATGGATGGATAGATAGATAGATAGGTAGATGGATGGATGGATGGATGGATGGATGGATAGATAGATAGATAGATAGANGATAGATAGATGGATGGATGGATGGATGGATGGATGGATAGATAGATAGATAGGTAGATGGATGGATGGATGGATGGATGGATGGATGGATAGATAGATAGATAGATAGATAGATAGATAGATAGATAGATAGGGAAGGGGGAGCAGAGATAGACACCCAGACACAGAACATTGTTGATGGGTGGGAAGAGGTGAGGTGTGTTTTCTGTGGTCACATCTCTGAACGGGGTTGTGATGCCCATTGCTCTGGAATCAGAGCAGAGAGGAGAGGGGAGGAAAGAGGGAGAAAGGAGGAGAGGAGAGGAAAGAGAGGGGAGGAGAGGAGAGGGTAGGGGATAGAGGGGAGGAGAGGAGAGGGGAGAGGGAAGGAGAGGGTAGGAGAGGAGAGCAGAGGAGAGGAGAGAGGGTAGGAGAGGAGAGAGGGGAGGAGAGGAGAGAGGGGACAGAGGGGAGGAAAGGAGAGCAGAGGAGAGGGGAAAGAGGGGAGGAGAGGAGAGGAAAGGGGGAAGGGGGCAGAGAGGAGAGGGAAGGAGACTTGTGCCAGAGGAAGTAACCCTGGCAAGTGGATTGGCAATGGATGGTGGGAGTATGGAGAGAGGGCAGAGGGCAGTTCTGGACCACATGACACTTGGCCATTTCCTCCTTCATTAACCCGTGTGTGCCGCCACACAAGGTGGCTCAGAAGAAGGAGGAAGAATGCGTGCTAGTTCCCCAACTGTTTATGGTGGGGCTACTTTTTGTCCGCTGAAGAGCAGGTGGGTGGTCCACGGTTCCTGATGCATCAGTTAAACTCGACTTCGTGGAGGTGTTGAGCTGCACCCAGGCAGCCATTCTGCTTTTCAATTTGTCTGAAACCTTCAGTCCTGAGATGCATCGGGCGTCATTTAACCAGCAATTGGGGTGCATGGGAGATGAGGCTCTACTGCAGGCTGTGAGAACATTCTGAACATGCGTCAGGAGATGTGTCCTACGACAACTTCACACGTGTTTATAGTGCGCTCTGGAGACCACCCGTGCCCTTCGCTCCTCCCACCTACACCAGCTGTCCTTTCTACCAAGTCCCTTTCCTAGATTCATGACGTTTGCTTTCATTTTGTGATCCATTTTATTTAACCGGGACATCTGTGTGACTATTGGAATGGGGTTACCTATTGGAGCCTGATGGTGTCGCCATGGGTACTTGACTGAAGGCAACGGGATCTATTAACAGAAGGTGTTCAGCCACGAGGGAGAGGGCCCCTGTACTCCTCTGCCCTTGTCTTGCTGCAGCTGAACCCATTTCCGTGCAGACTCATGGCTGTCATTCCCAGTTGTTGAGAATTTGTGACTGTGATGTGCCCAGAAGGTGGAATTTCCCAACCCTTCTCCCTGTCTACTAGATGGGCGTTTGAGGTGTAACTGCATTGTTGATTAAAGAGCATCTTGAACAAGCTCAACCAGGTATGAAATAATGGAGTCACAAAGTTTAGCTCTAGCCATGATCAGCAATCAATCAGATCCTGGGTGATGTCATTTACTCATTTCAGTACTCCAGAGTGCTTCAAACTTTGGCTGAGTATTAGTGGTAAGCCCATCACCCCTGTCCCTAGGGCACAGACGGTGAGCTGGCCCTGGCCAGTGTGTGACAACTAGAACATTCTCAAACTGTTATCTAATAGTTATTTGTTCTTTTCTCACATGCCCAGTGTTTCCTTGCCATCTTTTTTTTTTTTTTAATATTTACTTTATGTGTATGGATCTTGTGCGTGTGTGTGTACCACACCTGTGAAGTGTCCTCAGAGGCCAGAAGAGGGCACCAGATTCCCTGGAACTGGAGCTGTGAGCTGGTATGTGGGTGCTGAGCCATCCCTCTGGCCCCCTCACCCTTTTGATATCAGTTCACCGCTTAGCAATTCCCCCCACTGCAGCATTGTGTACCTTAGGGCTCCCAACTGTACTAGCAGCAGGGATGATCCCGAACGGCTGGTGACAAATAGTGCCAATGTGCCCCTAAAGTCAGTGGCTGACCTCAGGTGGTCATGCGAGCCAGTCTGAGCAAGTGAGATGCAAGTGGATATTCCTACAGGTGTCTGGAGGGTGTGACTCATATTTCTTAACAAATCGCTGGCAGAGATGGTCCCTTTCCACATTGGTTGTAAAGGAAAATGCAAAACAACCTTTCTGAGTTGTTGGCAGCCATTCTGGGGCCATGAGGAGACCCTGCTTCAGGCTAAGGAGAATTTGGTGGGAGGTAAAGATCAGAGTTGGGTCTTGGGTGTCACACTTACCAGAACCACGGCTCCCATGACTGTCCCTTCTATTCCGTCATCAAGCATGGATGGGTTTTCCTGTCCCCACAACCATACATTCTTCACCTGAAGTCTGTTTCTATCCTTGGGATGGCCCTTGCAGGCAGAAGACCGAGAATGACTTTAGCTAGTGCTTCCCCATTGTCCCCTCTCAGGAGAGACCAAGAGCAGGCAGACTGGCTGCAGAAAGAGCAAATGCTCTGAGCCAGAGTTGCCTGAATCCTCTCCTTTTGAGCTCCCCACTGTCTCTCCCTCGAAGGACCATGTAACTTTCTTGAGATATATAATCAATATATCATGGCGTATGCATGAACGAGGGAGAAACAAGCTCCCCTTGTCCTGGCAGGAAGGTCAGACATGTTTCATCTTTGTTGCTGGAACGGTGGTGTGCCTATGAGCCTCTCAGATGCCTTATGTTATACCCTCCTTGTGACGCCGAGGCTGTGTGTGTGCGTCATGTGTGTGTGCGTGTTGTGTCTTTTGTGTGGGGGTGATGTGTGTATGTGTGTGTGTGGGTGGTGTGTCTGTGTAATGTGTGTGTGGGCGACATGTGTATGTGCAGGGTGTGGTGATGTGTGTGTGCATGGGGGCGATGTGTGTGTGTGTGTGTGTATA